CTGCCCTGCCGAGGAATCCAAGGCGAACGTCGAGCAGAGTTTCTTGAAGATCAAGTCCGACCACGCTCACGTGTGCCTGGAGTTCGGCTGGTTGTCCAAGATCACATTTGATGGCAAGCCGATGGAAGCGTGGTCGGTTCAGCGCAAATCGGCTCAGGCGTCCATCATCAAGTGCCTCACCGCTTCGCTGACGGTCGCCAGCGCGGGCCAGGCGAACATGTTCGACGCCGCTGCCCTCCTCGAGGAGATGAGCAACTCTTCCGTGGCCACGGGCGGGCAGGTGGGGTTGGAGGACGCCCTTCTCGCGAGCCCGGGGATGCCGATGCAGATCATTGAGTACAAGACGAAGAACAAGGTGGACACGCTCGCGGACGTGCGCTTGCACCCCGTCTACTCCACGATGCTCCTCCAGGTTGTTGACGACATGCTGAAGGAGAACACAGATGGAAAGGTCCTCTTGAACAACATGATCCACTACATCTACCAGATGATGTCCGAGCACACGCAGTGCTCTTGCGACGTGATGACTTGCCTCGTCAACCTGGCCAAGCACGTGCAGGCCACCTGCACTCTTCCAGAAAGTTGGGACCAGGTGTTCGATTCGGCGTCGCAGATCGAGAGCTTCATCAGCATGCGCACCAAGTACGCCTGGTCTCTCTTCCACGACGTCCTCGAGAACGTGATGAAGACCATCCCCAATGCAAAGCTCATCTACCAGGCCACTGGCGGCCTCGAGAATGATGTCGACCACGCTCGGATCATGGTGACCATGCGCGGCGCGCAGCCTACCGAGATCAATATCATTTACGAAGTGGACATGTTGCTTCGCGGCGCTGGGGACTGGACGGGCCTATGGCTCAAACTGGCCCTTGGTTACGCTGAGGGAAAGAGCGCCGCCCAGGTCGTCAACGCGGACTTGCCGCTTGCCGCTAGGCGCCTCAAACACGAGCTGAGCGACGAGGGCCGCAAGCATCTGGCTAGCTTGGCGGAGGCGGTGCCAGGAGTCGGGGCACAGGGCATCCAGAAGGCGGCGGTGGCGCCCGCGAAGCCGCAGATGACCATCAAGGAGCTCTGGGATCACGGCATGACCGAGGCCGGCATCATGGAGTCTGAGATGGCGAAAACCTTGGGGATCACTGTCGACGCGGTCTTTCTGAAGTTGGTCGAGGCTAACCTGAACGCGGTTGTGTGGAGCCTCTTCCCCCGCACAGCTGGAAGCTACAAGGGCTACCTGGCGGTGGACGTCACGAGGCCGAACCCAGCTTTGCTGTGCAAGGTCGGTGACAATCCCGTGATGAAGGTATACTTCGTCGGGCCAGTCACGATGACCAAGCCGAGCAACAACAAGCACTTCTTCCCGGCCTGCACCTTGTTCGACGGCGTGGAGTACTACATCACGGGCGCTTCGGTCATGACGTCCTCGGCGGACGTGTGCGTGCCCGCCTGGAGCGCGACGGTGACCGACAAGGAGACGGAGAGCCACGCCAAGGTCAATTCGGAGCTCATCGAGCTCTGGCTGGACAGCACAGGCTTGAGCCAGGGAGGAGGAGGGAGGACGAGTCCGAGGAGGAGGGTCGACGTGGGGGGCGGGAGGAAGGAGGCAGGATGAGAGGGCGAGGAAAATAAGGGAGGGGAGGGGGCGGCGGAGGAGATGGAGAGGAGGCCCATGAGTGAGTGAGCCCTCCATCTGATTCAAATCCTCCTTCACCTCATTTCCTTTTCTTCATCCGTGTTCCTTCCTCCCTTTCCTCCATCTCTCTCTCTCTCTCTCTCTCTCTCTCTCTCTCTCTCTCTCTCTCTCTCTCTCTCTCTCTCTCTCTCTCTCCACCCCCTCGTTCCGCAGCCCTGGGGGTCCACATGCGAGGGGGGAGCGGGGGGGGCGAACATGTTGCCAGAGGCTTCGTCAACACTGAGAACCCCGAGCTCATGCAAAACTTCACGAATAAATTCGTGAAGATCAGTATGGAGGTCCACTACCTGATGATCCCTCAGAACGTCATCGCAACGGCCCCCGATGGCGCGGAATTCGCTGTGCTGAAGCGGTTCCATACCAACACTGAGCTGGAGGCGAAGCGCCGGGCGAGGGCGCAGCAGGGGGCGGCGGCTGCGGGGGCCTCCTCCGACGCGAACAAGAAGGTGGGCGCCAGCGCAGCCATGGCTACGCGCAAGAAGCGGCTGGCTGCGGAGCAGGCCCGGGGAGGAGGGGGAGGGAGGAGGAGGCAAAGGAAGGAGGAGGAGGAGTTTGGGTGTAAGCCAGAGGGAGGACGGTGCGTTTTTTTGCTGCAGGAGCGGGGAGAAGGAGGAGGAGGAGGAGGAAAGGAGGAGGAGGAGGGGGAGGAGGAATTCCTGGAGCGAACATTTTTGCTTCGGAGTGGAGGGGGAGGAGGAGGAGGAGGAGCAGGAGGGAAGGAAGAGGGGGAGGAGGCGGAGGAATTCCTGGAGCAACCATTCTTGCTTCATTGCTTCAGGAGTGAGGAGGAGGAAGAGGAGGAAACAAGGAGGAGGAAGAGGAAGATAATGGGGGAATTCGTGGAGGTAGCACGTTTGCTCCAGAAGCAAGGAGGTGGAGGAGGAATCAGGAGCGAGGAGCGAGGAGGAGGAGAAGTCGGGAATCATTGGGCCCCCCTTCGTCTTCTTTCCCCCGCCCGCCCTGTAGGCGGGGTCGCCTCATAACGATAGCGACGACGACGACTCCATGCTTGATCCGAGTACCGAATGGCTTAAGGGCTACGTCGGGGGGATCGGGAGGGACATGGTCGAGGGCGAAGAAAATGTCGCCATGGTTGATGAGTTTATCGGCGAGCAGCGGAGGCAGAAGCAGCGCGTTAAGGGTATCCCAACGGTCCCAACGGGCCCCGCGACCACGACGTATGATACGTGTGTCGGCGATGACGGCGGCTCTGAGCTCTCTGTGGAGCCGGCTGCGGAACTGAGCACTGAGTGGTTTGAGGGCTACGTCGGGGGGATCGGGAGGAACATGGTCGAGGGCGAGCAAAACGTTGCGATGGTCGAAAAGTTTATCCGAGAGGAGACGAAGAAGAAGAGGCTCTAGGCGGACGGGAGGGCGGGCGTTTTCTTGGGCCCCATGGGCCGGGGTCCTCGTCGCGCCCTCGTCGCCATGGCTGGATTCACCTAGACGTCGACGAGCGTCGACGGGGCACGATTGAGGGGATGAGTAGATCCGAATTCTGATCCCTATCCGAGGCCCTCTTCCTCTCCCCTGGGCCCTCCTGCTCCCCTTCCTCCTCCGCCCAGGCGGGCGGCCCCGCGCCCGAGGCTGAGCCTGATCCAAAACGGGGCCGCGGCGCCGGGGGCAGCAGCAGCGCCGCCAGCAGCAGCAGCGGCGGCGCCGGGGCTGCGTGCAAGCACCTTCTCAAGTGAGTTGAGTAAGTGAGTGAATGAATTCGATCGCTAGTTTTGTTTGCGCCGAGGGCGTCCTCTCGGTTGGCGGGCTAGACCTGGTCACGTCACCTCTCTCTTCCGCTGTGGTTTGAAGTATTTCGATTTCACCCCATCCCGCCTCCTCTTGCCTTCTTACCATTACCAGGTCCGCCTAACGAGGATTGCTTTTTGGCCAGCCACCGCCGCCGCAGCGCAAGTCTTTGCCTGCCCTCTGTCAGCCAGTATGCCCTCGATTGATGGCGCCTCAGTCGAGGCCGATCGGAAGGAACGGTTGTTATACAATATAAGGTTGAACGCCCGTTGTGGCTAGTTGGGGGCTCGGCATTTCGTGGCCCTGTTAGGGCGTGCGGCGGTGCGATGGCGAGAGATATATCTTGGCCCGATCCGCCCGGCTCCGACCGAGCGCCCTGGCCCTGGCCGGGCGCCGGAGTTGCGTGGCCCATTCGGTTGAACGCGTTGACACGACACACGACGTGCGCTCTTGAATCTCTTGCTCTTGGAGCTCTGAAAAAAAGAGGCCCCTCAACTTCCTCTCGCGCCGCCGCCCGCGGCCCTCAGCCTCTCCCTTCCTCTTCCTCCCTCCCGTCGGCCCTTACTTACCGCCCCTCCTTCGGCCCCTCTCCGATCCCGCCCTGTCCGTCCCTCCCTCCCTCTCCCCTCCCCGGGCCCTCTCTCCCTGTCTCCCTCCCTCTATCCCTCTTCCTGAGCTCCCCTCCCCTCGGCCTCCTCCCTCGCCCCTGTTCTGTCTTCGCCGCCCTCGTGAGGACCCGGGCTACTACTCTACTCGATCAAACCGTCACTCTCTATTTATATACTGTTCGCAACTCTTTTTCTACCCTCATATAGTAGTATCATATGCTTTATTCTACTTATCCATGTACGCACTGTTCTCATCTATTCGACCATGTTATATCCCCGCGTCCGCCGGCCGCGCTGTTTCCGACCCCGACCCCCCCCCGATTGCCGCCCCCCCGGCGGCGCTTTTTGAGAGGCCCCTAGCCCCGGAGCGCCCCCGACGGGAACCCTGGTTGGCAGGGGTCCCGGCGGGGCGGCTTCACTTTCCAGTGGGATGTGACCCTTACGATCCCTCCCCATCGCGCGGACCGCGCCGGGGGCGGCGCCGCAAGGGGGGGGCCCGCGGCCGATCCAAGACATCCGCGGGGAGCTCCAGGACACTGTGGCTTTCGGGCGCGTCCGAGAGGGGGTTCGCAGATCACGGCCCGAGGCGCGCGCGCGGACGAGAGGACGGGGGCCGGGGGACGCGTTGAAAGGAACTGGGGGGGCCGTGAGACCCGAGGAGACACCATGGCCCCGGCCATGGCAGCCCCCCCCCCATACACCCCTGCTTCGGGTGGAAAAATTCCAGGCTAAGACAATGGACCTCACTCGCAGCGTCTCCTCAAACGGCAGTCCAGGACCAGGTCTACGAACACTCTACGGAGAAGCAGAGCTCCAAGCAAACGCCCAGGGTCCAGTCCGGATGCTTGATTTTCTTGGACGACATCTGGAGTCCACGAAACTTGCTGCTGTTTTCTTAAGCTTTCAGCTGGGCGTAATCATCAACCTCCTCTTGGCCGCCCCCGAGCGTAGCCGCGCACCGGGCACGCGGCAGGCCAGTCCGCCGGCCGAAGCAGCCCGGGCGGCGGCAGCACCCGCGCGGCGGGCGCGGCCTCGGGGCGGCGGCAGGCCACCGTGGCCGCGGCCGCCGCCGTCGCCGTCATCGTCGCCGCCGCCGCCGCCGTCGTCGTCGCCGCCGTCGTCGTCCTCGTCGCCGCCGCCGCCGCCGTCGTCGTCGTCCTCGTTGTCGTCGTCGCCGCCGCCGCCGTCGTCGTCGCCGCCGCCGCCGTCGTCGTCGTCGACGCCGTCGTCGCCGCCGCCGCCGGGCCAGGGGCTCGTGCGCGCCGAGCGCGGGGTGCGCCGGGCGGGGCAGCGGCCGCGGGCCCTCGGGCGGCTCCGCCCACAGAGGGCCGGGCGCCTCCCAGAGCGCCAGCAGCTCCCGCTGGGTCTCCTCGCGGTGCGGGGGGCGTCGGAGACCGGGAGGAGGAGGAGGAGGAGGAGGAGGAGGAGGAGGAGGAGGAGGAGGAGGAGGAGGAGGAGGAGGAGGCGGAGGAGGGGGAGGAGGAGGAGGAGGAGGGGAGGAGGAGAGGAGGAGGAGGAGGAGGGAGGAGGAGGAGGAGGAGGAGGAGGAGGTCGTGACAGAAATCACGACGGGAGGTTTTTCTCCATCGTCGGCCTCTCGGGCCCCCTCGACGGGCCCGGGCACCGTCCAAAGTCCACTCAGGATGAACAGCCCGCTCCCAGGGAACGGGTCGAGACCCCTCGGGGCCGACGTTGCGAAAAGATCATGCCGTCGGGGGGAGAGATCGACGTGCAAAGGGAGACCCCTCGCCGGGAGGTTGTCTTCGGACCTGTGCTGCGTGCTCTGCGGGCGAGGCGCAGCTGCGTGCGCGGGCGAGCGGGGTGACCCTGCCGCTGCCGGGGCGAGGCCGGAGGCAAAGACTTGCCTCCCGTCTGGTTGGCGGCCGAATGGCCCGCGGTTGTCCCGTCGGTTGTCCCGTCGGTTGTCCCGTCGGTTGTCCCGTCGGTTGTGCCGTCGGTTGCCCCGCAGTTGTCCCGCGGCTGCGTCGTGGTTGCTCCCTCGGTTGTCCCGTGGTTGTCCCGATGGTTGTCCCTGCGATCTCTCCACTTCTTTTCCCGACGGCTGCCCCGATGGTTGCCCTGATGGCTGTCCCGACGCTTGTCCCGAGGGAGTCTGGCAAAAAAAAGCTCGGCGCCCCGGTGGTTCTCCCGATGGGTCTCGGTCAAAAATGCGCTCGGCGCCTCTGGTACCTCCAGATTTTGACTGACAGTGCACCCGAAAATGCGCTCGGCGCCTCAGGATGCGCTCGGCGCCCTCGAAGCCTGGACAAGTGCTGCCAAGCTGCTGTGCAGCATGCGCCCTCGGCGCCCTCGGCGCCGAGTGACCTGGCCAGATCGACAGATCGATTGGTAGTGAGATCAACAGTCGGGTCGGGCGAAAGGGGGGGATAGCAAAGGGGGGTTTGAGAATCAGCTCACGTAGCTGATTTTCCCCCCGCCTCGCGGCGCCGGAGGCGGCAATGTATCGAGGAATGGGCCCCTCGGTGGGGCCGAAACCAGCTGCATGCAGCAAATTTCGTAATCCCCCCTTTCCCAATCCCCCCCTTTCGTCCGGCCCGAAACAGGTGAGGGTCGGCGGATTCAACTGGTGGACGCTGAAACCGATAAATGCATGATCGGAAATTGGGGGGTAAGGTCGACGTGACAGGGAGAGCACGACCCCGGCTGAAGAAGCCGGTTTCGGTTTCCTATTCGTGCTGTGCGGGCCAGGCGGGGCTGCGTGCGCGGGCGAGAGGGGCGATCCTGCCATTGCTCGGGCGACATCGGAGCACCATATTATTTATCCGTTTGGCTGGCGGCTAGTGGCACGAACTTGTCCGGCGGGTGACCCGTTCTGTTGTCCCGTGGTTATCACGCGGTTGCCGTGTGGTTGTCCTGTGGTTATCCCGATGGCTATTCCGACTGTTCTCTTGATGGTTTCCCCGGTGGTAGAATGATGGGTTGACCGTAAGACCGGTAGAAAACTAGTCAGGCTGATAGCTACACATAAACGCACATCTATATATATGTGTGTGTGTGGACGGGTCCGCATAACACATCTTTGGCGACTTCGGTATATATAGATGACAATATCGATCGTTCGGTCGTGAGATCGATCGTCCGGTAATGATACTGGTCTATGACAGTCTATGCTATATAATGAGGCCGCTGTATGGGTATATAGAGAGTGACATCGAACTATCGATCGCGATCTATGCACATGCTTATGGACAGCTACACATATGAATCTGTAGAATGAGTTCGGTAAACATATCGGCCAGTACAGGTTGTCCAGATGTCTGTCCCAAATATTGCCTAGATGGTTGGTTGCTTGGCTGAGAGTGAGATCGATGTATGTAGTATATAAAATTAAACATACAAATACGTATGTATGTATACACAGATCGTGAGCCCGATATGTGAAAACATCGCCGCATGCAGTAACAATGCTATCGGCAGAGAGTTCGTGATAACGATGGATATATGTATGTATAGATACTTGAAATCGGCCGAAACATATCTTAATAATGGCATCATTGTGCGGACGCCTCTATATATAATAATAACAGTACTTGTAACCATATACCAACATAGCTGCAGGCATACATCTATTACACACATATGTATATACGCACACTAGAACTATCGCGCGCTTCGCGCGCGGTCAAGTTCTACCTAGGATCATCATCATCGTCATCGTCGGCATTATCATCCCCATCATCTTCATCGTCGTGGTCATGTTCACCATCACCATCACAACCATCATCATCACCATCATCATCAACATTGTCATCACCATCGTCATCATCGTTTTCATCATCGTTTTCATCATCGTTTTCATCATCGTTTTCATCATCATCATCATCATCATCATCATCATCATCATCATCATCATCATCATCATCATCATAGTCATCACCATCACCATCATCATCATCAACATCATCCGCATAATCAACATCTTATTCACCGTCGTCGGCGGCATAGTCATCGTCATCATCCGTGCCATCACCGTCATCATCCCCCGGTCTACAAGTCATGACCAACGGGGGGCTGGGAACGCAATGAAACAAGAAGAGGCGCCATGACAGCTGAAGAAAGATCACGGCCCACGCCATGATATCCCCCCCCCGAGTCATAACCCCCCTCTTGGCCGACCCCGATTGGCGGCCTCCAGGGCGGTCTTCAAGCCAACCCGGGTCGTTTTGGAGCCGTCTTGGGAGCCTCTGGAGCGCTCTTGAAGCTCCTCTGGAGGCGTCTGGGGTTCCTCTGGGAGCTCTCGTTCGGATCTCGTGGCAGGTCTCTCGGGGGCTTCCTTTGAAGCAGTTCCGAGGCCTCTTGGGGCCCCTTTCGGTGCCTGTTCGGGGTCGTTTGGGGACCTCTAGGGGGCCTCTCGGGGGCCTCTTGGGGGCCTCTCGGGAGCCTCTGGTGTCTGGAGCCTCCTGGGGGCCTCCTGGGGCCAGGGACCCGAAAAGTCTGGTCGGATCCCCCGGCTGGGCCCCTCCTTAGAGCCGTCTTGGGGCCCTCTTGGACCGTCTTGGAGGCCTCTTGCGCCGTCTTGGGGCCCTCTGAGGTCATCTTGGGGACGCCTTGGGGGCCCCTTCGGCCGTCTTGCAGCGTCGGGAAGCCGAAAAGGCGAGAACCCCCAAAAACCTTCAGAAACCATCGAATGACCAACAATTATTGTCTCCTTCTGCCCTCTTGGGGGACCTCTTGGAGGCCTCTTGGGGCGTCTTGGAGGTCTCTTGGACCGTCTTGGGACCATCTTAGGCGTCTTGGACCGATCTTTGGCCGTCTCGGAGCCTTCTTGGACCATCTCGGGGGCCTCCTGGGAGCCGTCTTGGAGGCCTCTTGGGCATCTCGAGGCCCCTTGGAGGCGCCGGGGACGGGGTATCAAAAAGGGGGCCCGATGTCACGGAGATGTGCGGGGCGATTTTTTCGGGGAGGCGGTCGATGCTTATATTCTACATGTAGCTGTGTCTATATGCATGCCCATAGTTGTGTGTATATAAGTGTGGCACTATGCATACACATAAATCAGAGACATTCGAATGTGTATGCATGCAAGAGTAAGCAGATCGACCGATCCAGATCTTTGTTTCGATGGATGGAAACGATTGCCCCGATGGCTGTCATGTCGTTGGCTACACCTCCTCCAACCTCCGCATCGTCTTATAAGCATCCATCTCCACGCCCTCGCGGTGTGGCCTCCGAGGCACGCTCCAGTGGATCTTGGACGTGCGATCCCTGGGCTGCATTCCGCTCGGGCTTCTCGCAGAGCCGCCCCAGGTCCGCGGGGCCGCGGCCGAGAGGAGTCCGGACCGCGAGCCCGTGGACATGGACATGCCCCCCGCCCCCCGGTCTCCTGCGGGAGCCCGCGCCAAGACCCGCGCGGCATGAAGAGCGGGGCCGAGCAGTGCTCCGCGTTGGCCCGCGCCTCTGGCCATCGCTCGGACGTCCATTCCCTGTGTTTTTTTTGGGGGGGTTTTGTGTGTGTGCGTGGTTTTTTCGCCACATGATCAAGGATGCTCCTCGATGGTCCTCGCCGAGGAAAAATGCACACGTTCGAGCGGTGTCAAGGCCTGGGCGAAGTGCGCGAGGTTGTTCGCGTAGCCCTGCACCGCCGCGGGGTGGATGCGCAGCGGCCTGCCCTGCTCTCCCGTCTCCGTGCCCATGTGCACGCCGTCGAACCTCTGGGAGAAGGCCCGGGCGTGCGCCGACTCCGTGAAACCGATGAAGCCGTAGCCTACGTTTTTGCCCTTTTTGGGGGCTTGGAAATTGACACCATCACAGGGGGTTGCCTCCACCAGGGAAGGATGATCCTAGAATTCGGTGTTGGTGGTAATCTTTCGGCCGCCTAGGAAGCCAGAATATTACAACGCCGATATTGGTGTTGGTGTCAACCTCTAGGCCTCCGACCTTTCTGGAGTCGAACTGGATGTAGATGAAGTCCACCAGCCCCACGAAACCGTGGCGCGAGACGTCGATCAGGAAGGTCAGCTGCGTGTAGTGCCGCGGTATCTGGCGGAGCATGAACGTGTACACGCTCTTCTCTGAGGTTGCATCGGGTCGCAGCTTGGCTAGGTGCTGACTGTTGCGAAACCTCGCGATCTGGCGCGTGGGGGCCGACGTGGCCGTCGTGGACGGAGAAGGCTTCTCAGCTGCTTCGCCACGTTGGCGTGGCGTCATCGCCGCCATCGGCTGCTTCGACCCCTGGGGATCGCGCTCGTGCGGCACCCCGATGTCCTCGTCGCTATTCTGGGTGCCGCTGAGCGTCGGCGAAGACGCCGGATACTCGCTCGACCCTCCAGACGAAGAGTCATCCGCCGTCCGGGTGCCCTTGCTGGCGCCGCTGTCGCCGCCGGCCTCTGTCTCCATGGTGTTCCCGCCCTCCTTCTCGTTGCTGGTCCTGTCGGACGTCACGTCGTCAACAGAGCTGGACTCGGTGACCCGAGTGGTCTCAGAGTTCGTGCGCGCATCATAGGGTCTGGTCAACCTGGTGCACGACACTGAGGCGTGGAAGGTGGCCTCAACACTACGAGACACGCCCCCTTTGCAGGCTCGATTGCGCCTCCTGCCAGAAGGACGCAGCAT